TACTCAGTTCTGGAGAGAGCCCCTGGCCGCCGGGGTCTCGAATCTGCAGGCTTAACCTTGCCTCCCAAGCCCTATAAACCTAACACCCCGAACCTCTTGTAGGGAACCCTAAACCCTAAACCCTAAACCCTAAACCCTAAATCCTAAAACCCCAAGGCTTCGTAGACTCTTCGGGCTGCTGTATGCATGTGCCATGGCGTCGCACAAAATGCGCGTGCCACTTTGAGCCGCACGGACCTGCAGATGCCCAGTGATCTCAGAGAGACGGGTAAGTGTTAGGGTGTGAGAATCAGAATGCCCCAAAAGGGAGGGGCTTAGGGTTTAGGGTTTAGGGTTTGAAGTTTAGGCTTTAGGGTTTAGCGTAGGGTTTAGAACTTCTGCATGTGCAAACCTAGCGGGATGCAGGTGTCTGCCCTGATACATGCCAGAACACAAGACTTCCTTGCGCAACTACCGGTCTTGCTTTTCCTGGCTGTTTTTTCTTCTCTCACTCTCTCTCTCTTTCCCTTTCTTGCTCCTCCCAAAGTTCTGCCAGAACAGAACCGAATTTCAAGCACGCTGTTGGGGGATCTATCTTTGTTGAGCTTGGGGTTCGGGCTCAAAAGGGTTTAGGGTTGGGATGTTCCCCCTTATACTAACAGCTTAATGGGGAAGATAATATACGCGCTATTCTAAACCCGATTCAGGACTGTGAGTATAAGGGGGGGACATTCTAATATGGATCTTTCAAGATCTGGCTTCAAAGGGTTTTTGTGAACGACCAACAAGCTTCAATGTATCAGCTGCTGGTGCTTCGAGCAGAGCCTTGGAATTCCGAAGACCTAAACCCTAAACCCTAAACCCTAAACCCTAAACCCTAAACCCTAAACCCTAAACCCTAAACCCTAAATGTGATTTTCTGGACCCAAGGTGCCACGAATATGACAGGGCCCCACATGGCCGTAACAAATGCCTGGCCAAGCCAGTAGGGTGCCTAGAAAGTTTAGGGTTTAGGGTTTAGGGTTTAGGGTTTAGGGTTTAGGGTTTAGGGTTTAGGGTTTAGGGTTTAGGACCTAGCATTCAGGGTTTAGGTTTTTAGGGTTGGGCTACGTATGGGTATAGGGTTTAGGGGTTGTAGCCGGGCTTATAGGGTTCAGGGAGGCTTTCTTTGGGGGCGCTATACGAGTTCAAGGCTCACTGCTCGCAGGGGCTGTCTCCGGGCTGACCAGTTCCGAGCTTACAGCCAGCATCGAGAGCCCTTACTGCACTCGGTCCTTCTTGCTGAAACCGTAGACTGGGGTTAAGGGTTTAGGGTTAAAGGGTTCAGGTTTCGGGTTTAGGGTTTAGGGACGCTAAACCCTACAAACCCCTTAGGCCCTGCCCCTTGAAAGCAGGTAGCCCGGAACAGCTATCTCTGTCGACTGGGACGAAGTCCTCATACCCAACTTCTGAGGATTGCGGATTGTTAGGGTCAGGCTGGTGAAAGCCCCGTGATATCTCGCCTGCCGCGGAACTCAATCAAGAAGCTTCACTCAGATTCCAGGTTTGGCCGCTCCCCCCAAGCCCCTCACCCCCCCCCCCCCCCCCAAAAAAAAAAAAAAAATAGAAATAAAAACAACATGGTCATTATACACGTATGTGTATATATATATATATATACATGTGCGTGTGTGTGTGTGTGTGTGTGTAGAAAAAACCACGACACCAGCGCCTCAGATCTGCAGGTGTCGTAGACCGGCGCTTTCGTTCAAGGGCCCATGGCTTCGGGCAGCACTGCCAGGAAACGAACAAAAAGACCCGAAGCTGCAAGTACTATATATATATATATATAATCCTCATTGGGGTACTAATCCCTATTAAGGTAGTTACCATAATCCTTCTTAAGGAAAAGCTTCAGACTTAAACCTTTGGCACCCTTTTTTGAGCCTACACTCTCAAGACTCTGTACCCTAAGCTTCAACCATCTTAAACCCTGCGTGCACAGCCCCCATCAAAATGAGCTCGGGCTTTCGGCGGGTCACCCGGCTGCACTGTCCAAAGCTTCGCGTCTTCTTCTTTAGGGTTTAGGGTTACTTAGGGTTAGGGTTTAGGGTTTAGGGTTTAGGGTTTAGGGTTTAGGGTTTAGGGTTTAGGGTTTAGGGTTTAGGGTTTAGGGTTTAGGGTTTCTTCTTTAGGGTTTAGGGTTACTTAGGGTTAGGGCTTAGAATTTAGGGTTTGGGGGGTTCGAATAGGGTTCGTAGGACCTTTGGGAGTTTGGGGCTTTCGGGGAAGGGTTTCGGGGTTCAACATGTGCAGCGGTGGGCTCCTTGAGCCGCCTGGCCGAGGGAACCGGTTTAGGGTTTAGGGTTTAGGGTTTAGGGTTTAGGGTTTAGGGTTTAGGGTTTAGGGTTTAGGGTTTAGGGTTTAGGAAACCCTAAACCCCTCAACCCTAAATCGTTTTCGAACCCACGCTAAACCCTAAACCCTAAATCCTACTAACCTAACCCTGGATAAAAGCTTGTAGGGTGTTCAACCTGAAAAAGAATAACCTTCTCAGCCCGAGTTGGAAGATCGGTCGTAGGTCTTGTGTCCTGTGGGCGAAAAGGGGGCTTAGGGTTCCCGAGCATAGTCGACAGCTGCATGAACTCACCTTCACGCCCAATGCCAGCAAACTTAGGCATTCATCGAACTACCCTGCGCATGAAGTTGAATCTATACCTTAAGAACCCCAAACCTACTTTTTTTGAAGGTTCTTTTGTCATATAACCCGTATAGGATTCTTAGGTAACCACAAAAAAACGTAGGTTTTGGGATTCTTAAGGTAGGCGTACGTAGAGTCGCAGGCCTTGAATCGGTAACCCTAAACCCTAAACCCTAAACCCTAAACCCTAAACCCTAAACCCTAAACCCTAAACCCTAAACCCTAAACCCTAAACCCTAAACCCTAAACCCGGCATGTCCTGAAGCCTCTTCAAAGCTCCCAGCAAGGAACTCTGTGGCTTGCAGTCCGTTCATCCCCTTCCCACTCCCAGAAGAAGCAGAAGTTTATACAAAGAAGGTTTAGGGTTGAGGGTGTAGGGTTTAGGGTTTAGGGTAACCCCCCAACAATTCGTGTAGTAGGCAAAAGTTAGCCGAACCTTCCAACAAGAACACACACCCCCACACAAAAAAAAAGAGTATGATCTCTCCAAGGGCCCAAAGTACATCACCCAGGGTTTAGGGTTTAGGGTTTGGGGTTTGGGGTTTAGGGTTTAGGGTTTGGGGTTTGGGGTTTAGGGTTTGGGGTTTAGGGTTTGGGGTTTAAGGTTTAGGGTTTAGGGTTCCACATTACATCACAGGCGCCCGGACCCACTCAGCACGGCCATGGACAGGATGAAAAACGTGAAGAAGTGCCTGCCCGGCAACCCTCTATAGGGTTTAGGGTTTAGGGTTTAGGGTTTTGGGTTTAGGGTTTAGGAAGAAGTGCCTGCCCGGTAACCCTGCACCGGAAGCCCGCAAGCATTTTTTGGCATTCTAGGGGTTTTACCTTGGACCCTTAAGGTTGTATCCTTAGGTTTTGGGGACCCTTTTTAAAGATCCTTAGACATAGTATGAGGGCCATGTTAGGAGTAGATTAATTAAGGGAATCCTCCAGGGGTACCCTCAACCCTAAACCCTAAACCCCCTGAACCATATTACACCCTTCTGTGCCTGGTATAAGAAGACAAGACCTGCCAACACATTGTATGGCAGCACTGTGCAAGGTTGCAAGGATCCTATACACCCTAAACCCATGAATAGTCCCGAACTCCAGACCAGGGATGATCCCCCTTATACTAACAGTCCGTAATGGGGACTATAGTAGTGGGTACTGTAATCCCTATTCATGACCGTTAGAAAAAAGGGGGAAGATCCCAATTCCCTGCAACCTGAACCTGGCCAGCGCCATCTTCGGCATCTAGCCACCCCGAAAGCCTCAACCCTTACACCCGGAATCCCCAAAGTCGGAGCACACGCAGAGTTTCGGGCTTAGTTGAGGGCTTCGGGTTTACCCAAAGGCTCCTATGTAGTACCTTTTTGGGGGTAGTATACTGCAATCCCCTATAACTCACCCAAAAAGGAACTACATTGGAGCCTTTGGGTAGGGTTTCGGAAACCTGGAACCCGCAGCCTCCGACATCCTTGAAGCCACGACAGCTAAGCACAGCGTCTCTGCGCGCGTTTTTTTTTCGACGCCGAAGGGCAGGGAGCAGGTGCCAGACCAATACGTCTGACACCCAAGAAGTTTTTGGGTTTCTGCCTGCAGCTTCTTCGGAAAGCGGCTTCGGAAGATATTCGGTTGGTGCGCAAAAGCTACTAGTGGTTTATGGGTTTATGGGTTTAGGGGCTTAGACTTTAGGACAAATTGCTTAAGAACCCATGCAAGAAGGGCAACAATGGGATGATTATCTTTTCATTTTGGGAGAGCTTCTTAAGCAAATCGTTGAAAAACCCTCAACACCCCACATGAAAAACGAAGTCCGCCATTTCAATGCTCCAAACACCCAACCATGAACCCTAAACCCTAAACCCTAAACCCTAAACCCTAAACCCTAAACCCTATAAACCCTAAACCCTAACCCCCCCCCCCCCCCCCCCCAAGGACTCCTGCGACACCCTAAGATCCAAGCCCCAAGGCCCCTTCATCTTCAGAAGCCGTTGCAGACTGGCTGGGCCCTCCCGGAGGGTTGGGAAAATTGGATTTGAGGAAGGGTTTAGGGTTTAGGGTTTAGGGTTTAGGGTTTAGGGTTTAGAGGGTTTAGGGTTTAGGAGCTGGCCGCGACAAGATTTGTAGTTTAAGGAGGCCGAATGCATGGATGGTCTCTGGCGTATGACGCGTCAGGGGTGTTCGGGTTCAGGGTTTTGTGGTTTTAGGGTTTTGCTGTTTAAGAACTCTATACGTTTCAGGATTTTAGGGTTTTAGGGCAGGCAGGGATTTTACAAGGTTTTGTGTCGCCTTTGCGTGTCGCAAATGCATGTTGGACTGCCGTGTCCAACACCTACTTCCTCTCCTCCTCCAACGGCTACTTCTTCTCCTCCTCTAAGAAAGGGTCCTTGCAAGAGGATTTGTGCACGATCCACCACTTGCCCTGGATCTTTGCAACGGTCAGAAGGTCAGTCCACAAACATGGTGGGTGCGCTACCTTGGTAGCCCAGTAACCATCCAATAATCAGGATACCTTTTTCTGTGGTTAGTTAATATAGGGTCTAAAAAATGGGCTTTGGGGGGGTGATGAAAGTAAAATTGTATAGGGACAATGAGGGAATACTAGTAGTAATTACTCCGTCACGGAACCTTGAACGAAAAAACGGTAAAGGGTACCACTGCGCTACCAAGCTACAGTAAGCACCACCATGGCGACTGGGGCTGAGAGGCTTCCGAAGTCAATGGACAGAAGGGAGTCGCGGCTGGCGATGCGCGGGTCGTGCTGCAAGTGGGCGTAGTCCTTGTGCATGGGGGTGGTGTAGCGCGTCTGGACCATGTTGCAAAATTGGGCGCCTTGGTCGCCCAGTAACCGTATTACAATAAGGGCACCATTTTTTGGGGGGGTTGGTTACTTTTATAAGAACCTTGAACCAAAACAAAAGAGGAAAAAAGGGAAAAATGGTACCACTGGGCTACTAATTCAGGCGCTATCAATGATTACGACGGAGCCGGTGCCGTCCACGAAGGTCAGGCGACAGGTGTCGTGGAAGTACCTGGGCTTCTTCGAGACAAACTTCCAGTTGCTTTGAATGACTGTCCAGGCGTAAAGCTTGCCTCAAACCTATACCCCCCTAGAAACTTCATAAACAAATATCTTCAACATGAATATTCCTTTTGTTCTATTTTAACAAACAGCAAAAGTAATTTCTTCATAAGAGGGCAAGAGTAAAAAAGCAGCTTCGAGAACACGCAGGCCCAGGTGCTCGGCCATGGCTTTGCCATCGCATGCCCGGTTGGCCCGGCAGTAGCCTTGCCACACGCAGCCGCTGATTCCATCAAAGTCCTTCCTTGGATGCGCTCTGACCCTTTTCGCTTACACCCCAAACCCTAAACCCAAACCCTAAACCCTTGTTGTGAAGCTGGACAAAAACCCAAGCGGACCCCCATGTTGACACAGGAATCCTCCGGGCTCACGTGGACCCATGGGCACCCAAGGATCGCGTAAGGAGTTAGGCTGCTGAAAAGGCTCAAGCCCCGACCTCGTGAACAGAAGCCTCCATCGTCTTACATGCATACGCAGACAGAGAAACATCACACTTGAAGCCATTACGTCGGAAGTCCTGTCATCTACACGAACATACATATGCCCTTCAACAGTCCAGGTCCCTACCCCTGGGGCCCAAATGAACCCCCCAAATTGGGGTCATATATCCCATACTACTCACAATCCTATTGCTGTATGTGACTTCATCAGCCCTAACCCCTTGAATCCTAAATCCGATTCCCACTAAGGTGCATGAAATCACAAACCTCGCCAGGGTTCATGTCGCTGGTCCCCAATGTACGCACTGATTTGTGGCAGCTCTTACGCCCTACATGATTAACTACTTGGGGGTTTAGGAGGGCTTGGAATTTGAGGGTTTTTAGAGGGTTTATAGGGTTTCTGGAATTTCTAGGGTTTGGGGTACCAGCTTGGTCCTTTCTTCCCCCCGAAGGGTGCTCTCCTCTATCGCACCCTCTTAAGCCCAAATCTTGGGATTACTGAGCTCAAGAGGATGTGCTTTTAGGAGCGGGTGTTGCAAAGAACTGCGCAAGTTGCATGGTCTATCGGGAGCAATTAATTCAACTCCATGAAGGTGTGTACCTTTCTTTGTGTACTTCTGTTCTCTTGTCAATTGGTGCAGGCTTGCTGCTGGGACACCTTCTGGTTGCCAAGGACAACCAGGGCCCAAAAGAAGAAGGGTACCACTCGGCATCCCAGACAACTTAAGCCCCCAAATCCGTCCGGGCGAACCCTCATATTTTCCAGCAACCCTCAAGCCAAAACCCTGAACCCTAAACCCTCAACCCTAAATTACACCCGAGCCCCCCCCCCCCCCCCCCCCCGGGCCGTATAGTTAACGAAAATAAAGGACCCCTACAATAAACCCGCCATATTGTAGGATTCCCTGAAAAGAAGGACCCCAATAAGGTACTTGGAGGTTCATGGCACTTGCGAACCAGTTATAGCTGCAAGGGCTTAGGGATTATAGGGTTTAGGGTTTAGGGTTTATAGGGTTTAGGGTTTAGGGATAACCATACTAGGGCACTTAAGGGGCTGACAAGTGGGTTGTAAGTACAGTACCACGAGCCTCCGAGTACCCCTACTTTCGGAAACCCCCAAACCCTAAACCCTAAACCCTAAACCCTAAACCTTAAACCCTAAACCCTAGACCATACTTTCAGAAACCCCTCATGGGACTCAGCCAGGCGTCGGCTCTGTCATCTCGCCCGGAGTGGACACGGCGGCGGAGATGCACTGCCACCGCTCACCCTTCCGAGGTAAACCCCTAAACCCTAAACCCTAAACCCTAAACCCTAAACCCCAGCGGAGGGGCTGGGCATTGAGGGGGTTGGGGGGGTCAGTAGGATTAAGGTTGCGGGGCCCCTATGAGCCTGAGATCCTGAACCCTAAGCCCTGGGGTTGGACCGACCATGTTTAGGGTTTAGGGTTTAGGGTTTAGGGTTTAGGGTTTAGGGTTTAGGGTTTGGGGTGGTTTAGGGTTTAGGGTTGTGAGTCCAGGCTGTTCCGATGTTAGGGCCCCTCTTGTCGGTACTACTTGGAGGTTGAGGGTACTGAAAACCCCAGTTTTTGACTGTACTCATAAGCCCCCTAAGTCCTCTAAGTAGCTTATGAATAGACTTAGGGATATGTCAGAATCATATTTACACATATTTGCTGAAACCCTGTATACAAAGCACCGTACCATCCCGCGCCATCCCGAAACCATCCCGAAACCATCCCGAAACCATCCCTCAAGGGACGCTAGCTTAGCGTACCCTGGGCGGAGTCCATTGTTGGGCGGAGTCCATTGTTCGAGGACCCAAGTCGGGTAAGGGTTTCGGAGGGGGAGGGTGTAGGCTGTGAGGGGGTTTGGGTTGTGGGTCTCGGGTTTAGGCCTTAGGGGCGTATACTCCTTTGCGCCTTCAGAAACACCAGCCAAAGGGATACTTCGCCAGCAATCCGCGCGTACACCGCGGCGGAATTCTTGCCTCAGGCATTAGGCATTGGGAATCTAGGCACATGGGGCTTGCACAGTTTTTGGGGCCTAAGCGAACTCCAACAGGAATTTCTTGAACCGGCACATCTGACTCGGAGCCTAGCAAAGGAAATCTGAAGGGTTTAGGGTTTCAGGGCCAGGGCTGGTATTTCGGTACAAGCGCCCTAAACCCTAAGCCCTAGACCTCTATTCCTGCCATATGAACTTGGTATCCCATGTCAGGGTTCCCGTACTTAGGGGTGGGGAACAAAGTACTCACTCAATCGCAAACACTCCATCGAAGCCCGACACCCTCCTAAACCCTAAACGCTACACCCTACACCCTAAACCCTAAACCCTAAACCCTGAACCCTGAACCCTGAACCCTAAACCCTAAACCCTGAACCCTGAACCCTGAACCCTGAACCCTGAACCCTGAACCCTGAACCCTAAACCCTAAACCCTAAACCCTAAACCCTGAACCCTACACTTGCCGAATGCCAGGCTGGGGGGCCGCCAGCTTGCAGAACCCTCACCGTCTCAACCACCGCCTGGTCGACGGAAGATCCGCTGGGAAGCACATACCTCCCATGTAGGGTTAGGGTTTGGGGTTTGGGGTTTGGGGTTTAGGATTTGGGGTTTGGGGTTTAGGGTTTGGAGTTTTGGGTCCTTTTCTGGGACTGGTGTGTCTTAGGTAGAGAGGCTGCAACGGATTTCGGAAAACGATCACAAGGTTAATACAATATCGGTGATAAGGGGAACCGCCTTTTCAGGAACTGCTCATATCCAGCAGCAAACGCTGTAAACCCCAAACCCGACCCTAAACCCTGCCCTTGCCCTCTCTCCCGAAATCCTAAACCCCTAACCCCATAAATCCCAACAACCCGAAAACAAACCCTAATTAAACCCTAAACCCTAAACAATGAAAACAATCATGTCGAGGTGCTCCGCACCCGGTGTGCTGCGGAAGGAACCATCGAGCTCCACGTGAAGCACCGAGCACCCCTGCCAGAGGAAGATGGTTAAAGGTTTTTGCGCCCACCTGCCTCACTGAAGATGGCTTAGGGTTTACGGTTTAGGGGTTAGGGTTTAGGGTTTCGGGTTTAGGGCTAAACCCTAATAGCTTGAAGCAGAACGCGGTTTGCCACGACGTGGCCGCCTCGAGCATGGAAGGTGTTGCCGAGCCACTCGCGCACCATGCCTTGATGCAATCCTGCAGTCGGGCGCCCGCAAACAGACACTTGAAAGCACCATATGAGACCCTTAAACCCTGAACCCCGACTCCTCCAACTGGTCACACCTTTCAAGCAGCAGAGGTGTTTATAAGTCAGGCTTCCACCATCAGGTGTTAGGGGAAACGAACAGCAACTACTCAAATTTGGTACCCAAGTAAATGAGGCTAAAGGCTGCTCCAAAGGAGTACCTAAGGCCCTGTTTAACCTGAGTAGGTAGTTTGGGTGGTTAGATTACAAGGGGATTCTATGAATAGGTGTTCAGGAGGCGACTCGGGTTTAGGGTTGCTCTAGGGGGCCAGGACGTGGGCAAACCCGCAGCTAGCAGGGTAGAGCAAGGGGTCACACAAGCTAGCTGAGCTGTGCACGCTGCCGATCTCAATCTGCAGCCCAATGGAAGCAAACCAATATGTGTCCATCCTTATGACTGCCGCAAGAAAGCCCCAATCTCTAACAAACTCCCAAAATCCTAAACCCATCAAACCTTAAAACTCCACGTAGGCAACGTCCGGAGCGGTGCTGGGGCCTATACACCCTAAACCCTAAACCCTAAACCCTAAACCCTAAACCCTAAACCCTAAACCCTTCAAGTCCCCGTTCCGGCACCAAGGCTCCAAGCATGCCAGGCGGAGCGCCTCCTCGTCGCTGGATGCCATGGCTGAGATTCGTTGATGCTCAGAGGGTTTATAGGGTTCTAGACAACCGGAGGTTTAGGGTTTAGGGTTTAGGGTTTAGGGTTTAGGGTTTAGGGTTTAGGGTTTAGGGTTTAGGGTTTAGGCACCATGGCCTACAGGGTGCTTGTCCGATCATCACGCGTCCTATACGCTCGCAAACCCTGCTTCCGAACAACAGCGCCCGGGTTCAGTTGCAGTTTGCCGCAGCTAAACCCTGAACCCTATAAGCCCTCAACCCTAAACCCTAAACCCTAAACCCTAAACCCTAAACCCTAAACCCTAAACCCTCCACAAGGACGACGCAGCCCGCAAAGGGAGCCCTTGCCCCCCAGGAGTCCCAAGGGCGGAGGAGACACCCAGATTGGTGTTCCATGGGCTCAAAGGACGGTGTTCAACCCTAAACCCTAAACCCTAAACCCTAAACCCTAAAGCCTAAACCCTAAACCCTAAACCTAAACCCTAAACCCCTAATAACCGAAACCTCAAAACCCTAAGCCAACCCCTGGGGACTGTCTACAAGGGGGCATCCTTTTGAGGTTCAGAATGCTTGTCGCTTAGGGTTCAAACCCCTCTCCCCCAGCCTGTCGTGACACCAGACTCCGGCCCTGATTCCCCAAACCCTAAACCCTAAACCCTAAACCCTAAACCCTAAGCCCTAAACCCTAAACCCTAAACCCTAAACCCTGGGGCTACGTGGGGCTTCACCGTAAACCTTAAGCCCTACACGCAAACCGAAACTGCCAGCCCTCGACTGGCCTCTTCAACCCACGCCGGACAACCTCGAATCGGCTTCTTAGGTCTTCAGCTTTTTCGAAGTGCGGGTATCTTATTGGGGTCCTTGTGATGGTTTAGGGTTTAGGGTTCAGGGTTCAGGGTTTAGGGTTTAGGGTTTCGGGTTTAGGGTGTCGGGTGTAGGGTTTAAGGTTATTTGGGGGTCTAGCTTCGGGGCCCCTTATTTTCGTAAAGTTTCATGTAGGGGTTTACTTTAGAGCCTTAAGTACAACCTTAGCGGTACGAGTCCTCGGTTGCTCTTTAGCCCCCCCAAGAAAAGTTTGACTTTTCGCTCCCGTAATATGAAATTAGAGGAACCCTAAACTTATAAAGTAATTAGAGGAACCCTAAACTTATAAAGCAATTAGAGGAACCCTAAACTTATAAAGTGATCCAGCTGTAGTAAAGTCCTGATCCCTTGGAGTTACATGGTCCCTTCATACGGTCCTTGACCTAGGGTTCTGAAGTATGGGGCCCTTTGGGTTGCCTAGGGTTTAGGGTTTAGGGTTTAGGGTTTAGGGTTTAGGGTTTAGGGTTTAGGGTTTAGGTTTAGGGTTTAGGGTTTAGGGTTTAGGGTTTAGCAGGGGCTTTTGCGGGAACCTATACCCCGCAAAAAGTGAATAAGGCGCTCCGTTTGGGCGCTAGGCTTCTTAGTTGCTGAGTACCGTGGCCGCCAAAAGAAAGCCCAACCTTGCCCACAAAATTATGAAGAAAAACACCAAGAGCCCTGTTTAGGGTTTACCTAAACCCCCAGTGCAGGTAGAACAGTCGCCCTTTTCATGGGCTTTGAGCTATTCTTGTTACATACTTTAGGGGGTCCGGGTTGGGATATTCTTATACAAACAGTACTAGGATCCCTACTAGGACTGCTAGTATAAGGGGGAATATCCCAACCCAAACCCTAAACCCTAAACCCTAAACCCTAAACCCTAAAAACCCTAAAAACCCTAAAAACCCTAGACCCTAAACCCTAAACCCTAAACCCTAAACCTTCATCCCAAGGTCCAAGTTTAGGTTGAGGGTGGAGGGTCCAGATGAGTCTGCCACCATGATGAGCTCGTATCGCTCCTCGTCTGGCTGGCCTCCGCTCACTAACTTACCGCGCAGGGGGGGCGGGGGAGGAGGTTAGGTTTAGCTTTAGGGTTTAGCGTTTAGGGTTGGGCTTTGGGGTTTCGGGTTTGGGGTTTTGTGGGGGCGGGGGGGGGGGGGGGGGCAGGGGGAGCCTCTCAAAGCCCCCCGAAGACGGGAAAAACCACATCCACAGGTAGGGATCCTAAAAATTAACACAAACAAAAAGAAATCATGGCACAAAAAACCTCTCCACTCCCCATCCCCTCCCCCCCCGCGCCCCCCCTCCCCCCGGCCGCCCCTTCCCTCTCTCCCCCCCCCCCAAACCCTAAACCCTAAACCCTCAACCCTAAACCCTAACCCCCCCCCCCAACCCCCCCAAAAAAAACAACAACCTCGTCAATGTTCAATGTTCCGCCCAGGCTTCGGCCTCGGGTTTTGGGTCTCCCTGCCTCTCTTCTTGGGGTGTTGAGGGCACTTGTTCCGACTCGGCTCCGGTCTCCGAACGAACCTAGGGCTTAGGGTATTAGGGCTAGGGTTTAGGGTTTAGGGTTTAGGGCGAGGGTTTAGGGTTTTGTGTAGGGTTTAGGGTTTAGGGTTTGGGGTGAAGCTCGAAGCAGCCCAGGGAGGTAGTGCCTTCCAAGCTCTCGGCACTTGGCGGACGAGACCACACCTAAGCAGAGGCCTACTCATGCCCTAAACCCTAAACCCTAAACCCTAAACCCTAAACCCTGGTTCTACTTTCTAGGGGTTGTGCCTTGGGCCATCAAGGCTACCCTTGGGTTTTGCGGATCCTTTTTCAGGGTTCTATAAGGTAGTATGAGGGCCATATTTGGAGCAGATTACTTGGAACCTTTCTAGGGGTCCAAACTTAAGGGTACGAGTCTGAACTCCTTGACTATAGGCTGAAGGGTTGCCTGACAACGGCTCTCGAAGCATCAGAAGATTTCAGTGTCACACAAAGTTTCATTCCCTTGCGACATCATTTGCTCAGGCTCAGCTGCAGTGCTACGCATGCCCAGGGATTAGGGTTGCTAATTGCAACAAGCCCCGAACTTTTACATGACAACGTCCCCTGTCCCTGGTTCGAGAAGTCCTCATGCCCAAGAGAACAAAGATACGCTTCTGAGGGCTGCACAAACATGAGCTAAGCTGAAGTACAATGTTCCGCAAGTCTGCTCGTTGGCAGCCCGCGGCAATAGCAAAATCTTCAGGAAGCCCTATATACCCTAAACTTTGAACCCTGAATCCTGAGACCTAAACCCCAAAACCCTAAACCCTAAACATTGTTTTTAGGATTCCGGGAAACAGCAGCCTTGCGGTTCAGGAAGAGGGCTCGGGATCTGTTTGCCTTCAGGCCTCAAGGCTTAGTGCTTGGGCGGGGGAGGTGGGCTGTCCAAAAACAACATCTTTCCTTGGGGACCAAATGAACCCTAAAATTTGGGTCATGTACCCTATACTACTGTACTATAATTCCTATTAAGGTATATGAACCATAAACCCTCTTAGGGTTCATTTCGTCCCCAAGGTTCACGATGCTGCAATCTCAGTCGCTTCGAGCCATGCTCGGCTTCTAATCTTCGCCACTGCTCAACCCAACTCTATCCAGCATAGATGATCCGTGCAGCAACAGGGCTGACAGAAAGGTAGGTGCATTGGGGGGGAGGGTACCATGTATATGTATCCCCTCTCCCCACCACACGTATCGTCGACTGCACAAACTTAGTTTTCTTGTTGACTAGAGGAAGGAATTCATTCGATTTCCCAAAAGGTGAAGGGTACTCAGCACCCAAGCAGGTAGCTATCTGCAACAAGACATAAGTCGGGCCTTCACTATGGCCTTGCCACAGTTTGCCACATCGAAGTGCACCGATTTACCTCCAACGGTCTGCTTCAACCGCAAGCCTGCGAGAATCGCCAACCAAAATGCAGCATGTCCTTGCCACAGATGGCTGCATCGAACTGTGTGAAGATGTGAGGGGATGGAAATACAGAGTAGGTCGATTGCTCCGGGCCGGATCAGGTGGGATGCCCCACTTGCGACAACTTCTCTAGAGGTCCAATCAACGCAAGCCTCTTGAATGCATGCCAGCCTGCTATGAAAGAGCCCACCAGCCAAAACCTAAACCCTACAGCCTGAACCCTGAACCCTAAACCTTCCTGCATGCAGTCACCTAGAGTCCTTCCCGAAATCTGCAGATTGCCGGACCGCCAGTGAAAAGCATCGCTTAGTCGTTTTATGTCCGTGTGGGCTTGCCCCTCGACATATCGTCGTGCGGACATCCCAAGTCAAACCCTGTAAGGACATCATCTACTCCACAAGGTAGGCAGGAGACTGGGGGGATTGCCAGAACCTTAAGTACCCTAAACCCTAAACCCTAAACCTTAAACCCCCATTCCTGCATCCCGTAAGCCACCAAGGCTTTCGAGCCACATTCTACGGCATGAGGGGGG